CTTCTCCTTCTGGTACCCCTATAATTCGGATGTTGGAACATTTAAAGATGTCCTGGAGGTTCCTAAACTTGTCCTCATTTTTTTTGAATTCTTGCTTCTTCATTCTTTTCTGTTTGGTCATTTTTTTCTTCCTTCTGCTCCACTCCATTGATTTGAATCCCAGTTTCCTTCCCATCACTATTAGTTCCCTGTGCATTTCCCTTTATTTCACTTAGTTTAGCCTTTATTTGTTCCTCTAATTTGTGACTGAAGTCAACCAGTTCTGTGAGCATCCTGATCACCAGTGTTTTGAACTGTGCATCTGATAGGTTGGCTAGTTCTTGGTACTTAGAACTTGGTACTTGGTACTTAGAAGTATTGGCTCTGGGACCTTGAGCTGTTCTTGAGCCATAATGTTTTGGTCTGTTTGCAATGGTATGTATGAGGGGTGGAGCCTTAGGTGTTCACCAGGGTGGGGCAACCCAGTTGCTGGGTTGTGATCCTATATGTGGGGGTGGGGTCAGAGAGGGAACAGTGGTGCTTGCTATGCTCTCTCTCAGATTTTGGTCCCCTCTGCTGCTTCCCACAAGCAAATTGGGCCCCTGTGGTGCTGGTTCCCTGGTGGGTGGGCTTGTGTATGTTCTAGGACCCTGTGGATCTCTCCAACAAACTCTCCTGTGAGTCTGTCTCTCCTGGCACCTTAATCCCCACAAGTGTTTTCGATGGGTACTTTTAGGTGTTATTTTCTGTCTCTGGGGCCCTGTTTTGCATCGTCTGTCTTGCTCCCCATTTTTGCCTGGTTTATCTACATGCAAATGTGTGACCACGGTCTTGCCTGGTTTATCTACATGCAAATGTGTGACCACGGTCAGCCAGCTGTCTTGTGTGCCTCACTGGGTCTGCTCATTGCCTCCCTGCACCTGGGGTCTGCTAGGCACTGCCTGGGGGCTGGGGTCCACTTGCCACCACTTTTTCCTACCGCAACCCCCTCCAGGGCCTAAATTTCTTAGCCTAAAAGCTCTTACTTTTATAATCTATATTAGTTGTGCTGTAATATTTGATCTCATATTCTTTAAGGATCACACCAAAACAGAGCTGGATGCTTGGAAGATCGTTCGAGTCAGTGAAAACTTCCGAGTGATTGCCTTGGGCTTGCCAGTGCCTAGGTACCCTGGGAATCCATTAGATCCCCCTCTCCGTTCTCGGTTCCAAGCCAGAGATATTTATTATCTACCCTTCAAGGTAAGTATGAACAAGGATAATTTTTTTAAAACAGTTTTTCTATTCATGATAAATTCAGTTACTATAAAAATGTTACTATATTGGTAGATGTCCTCCTCAGTAGTTAATGGTAAGTAAAAAGGATACCAGGTGAAGAAAATCTCTGGAAATGAGGAAGAGAAATTATTGTGCTTCATTTTTCTAATAGATTTAAAAATGGCTACTTTTGAAAGAGAATGACATGCATCAATAAGTTATTTTTTTGTTACTAATTACTTAGTGTCTGCTTAATTAAAAGATTGGTTTATCTATAAAGCATTTATATTTGATCTGTTATATTTCTTATTGTTTTGATATTTCTGTATTATTTTAGGACCAACTTAAACTGTTATATTCTGTTGGAGCCAATATTTCAGCTGAAAAGTAAGTCAGTTATACACTTATATATTTTGATATATATACCTGGACACTTAACATTGAATTTGTTTTGCCCATTGATTGATTGATTCATTCATTCATTCAATAATTATTCTTTGAAGAAATTTTAGTAGCTGTGGTAAGTCCTGATTATAAAAATGATAAAGAAGATGATAAAGGTAAAAATCTTGGTAAATACATGATTTTTGATGCTAAGAAACTCAAGATTTAGTAGAGTTTAAAGATATTTGAGTAGTTTAGTTAAACAGTATAGAAGGCAGTAATTTCAAAGTATTGGCTTTTGTGGTTGAGAGTTTAAAAGGGATTCACACAGACATTGGCATGTGAGATAGATCCTAAAGAATGAATAGAAAGGGGAAGGATCGCAGGAACTGGTATAAAGGACAGATGAACAAAAACTAAGGGGGGGAATGGAAGGGAGGTGGGAAGCACTGGGGGGGGGTGGGCTGGCATGGGAGTAAAAGAGAAAACTGTACTTGAACAACAATTAAGTAAAAAAAGAATGAATAGGCTTTTGCCAGATAGAGAATGGAATTAAGGAATTCTAAGAATTTTTTTTAAAGCATGGGATATGAGAGTGTCTGTCTCATTTTTGAGGCTATAAAAAGTTTCTGGTGGCTAGAGAATAGGATGAGATTGAGAAAGAGAGGAGGTGAAGCTGCCAGCTTGTGAAAAACTTCACATGGTATGATGGATTTCAGAAATACATCAGTTATCTAATCAGCTTCTGAGATTTAAATTGAATATAGCATTATGGAGCTGTTGTTTCTTAAGAATTTAATAGTAGATGTCTTTTTAGATTAAACAGAAGTGTACATTTTATATATTAAAACTTAGAATAAAATTTAATGTCATTTATCTTTTTATCCTAGAATTTCTCAGCTTTTGTCTTTTGCCACCACTCTCTGTTCCCAAGAATCTTCTACTCTTGGACTTCCGGATTTTCCTTTAGATAGTTTACCAGCTGCAGTTCAAATCCTGGTATGTGTAAAGTAAATTAATGACTAATATACCCAAATGCGGCAAAGAAAATTTAAAAGTTCATCCTTGGATATTAATCACTTCAGTTTGCCTTGTCATATTCTTTTATAAATATTGCAAGAACTGAGATTGATTTGTTGTACAGTACAGCAAACTATACAGAGACCAGTGGTATATTCTGAGCCCTTAAAGAGCTTACAGTCTTAGAGGGGTGAAAGTAGATATCCAACTCAGATGTGAGTTCCATAGAGGGAAAGAGTTTTAGCCTGATCATGCAGAGGTGTGCTGTAGTGTAAGCTGTGCCTTAGACTTGCCCCAACCTAATGCAGAGGAGGAGCTGGGGCTTTCCCATGCAAGCATGGTCAGTCATTAGTTATGGTGGTCCCAAGTTACACAAATTCTCAGGCACTAGCTCTCCTTCCAGGTGTGAGCAAAGCTGGCTCTGGGAGCTCAAGGGCAGTCTTTCTGAAAAGACTGAGAAAGATTTGTAGCAGCTGATTGTTGGAAGTGAAAGCAAGGAGGGAGGCACAGAAAAGATGAAAATACATCTGAGTGCATTTGGTACAGACTGACAAAGGTAATAACAGTAGTGTCTGAAATGGTGGAAAGGCCCTCCGGGCAGAGGGAACAGCACTTACAAAGGTGTTGAATCACAAAAGGGCCTGGTTTGTTTGGAGATACATCGTAGCACTAGAGCAAGCTAATATAGTGAGGAGAGAGGTTAGAACCTTAGTGTGTTGTGTTTTACCTGCTGAATGAAGTAGTCTGGGTTTTATAATGTATAAGAAGTGGCCCATCAGACATTATTAAGTAGGTCAGGTGTGCTGCAATCAGATATATGTTTGAGGAAGATAACTCTGTTGGCAGGAAGAAGGGATGGAGAAAGCCTGGATGCACAGGGAGATGGTTAAAATAGTCAGTGACAGACTCTACTAAGAAGCGTAGTCCTGGTACTGGGAACAAAACTAGATGAGACTTACTTTTAAACTTTTATTGCTATTTATTTTATGTTTCCTGAGAGATGGTAAGTTAGGTTCCCCAGGCATTGCTTACACTGTTCTCTGTATTTAGAACACTTTTTCTTCTTCTGTTTATTGCATCTTTTACTTTTTGTTCAGAACTTTTTATTTATAGGACAATTCTTAATTCTAAAACAAGTTAAAAAATAGTAAAATGAGCATCTCTAATTCCTTCAAGTAGAATCATCAACTGTTAACATACTACCACATTTGCTTGCTCTCTCGTTTTTTCTGAACCATTTGAAAATATACAAAAGTTAATATTCTTAAATGCTTCATTATGCAACTTCTCAGAGTTAGCACATTCTCTTACATAACCAATACCATTATCACAACCCTCAGCATATTAACAGAAGAAGGTAGTTTGGGACAAGTAATGTAGGTAGATGTGTTCAGACACATAGTTTGAGACATACTAAATGGGGGCTTATGGGATTTTCATATAGTCACATCTAAGGTACAATTGAAGTTCAAGTCTATAGCTCAAGAAAGAGGTCAGGACTAGATATATGGAAGCCATCAATACAGATAGTAGCTGAAAGATGGGAGTGGGAGTTTATCAAGGGAAAGGGTGTGGAAGAGGAAGAGAAGAAGAAATAATATTTGCTTATGTAGACTTTTGGGAAATATTGGTTATTTATAAGGCAACTTTAATGTCATATGTGCATTTCAGATAAAATTTCAGATTTATTTTATAGGTGTTCCTCATTCACACTTATTTTTATTCCTATATAGGATTCCTTTCCTATGATGTCAATCAAACATGCAATCCAGTGGGTTTATCCATACACTATTTTACTAGGACATGATGGGAAGATGGCTGTGGAAGGTGTTTTAAAAGTAAGTATCTGCTCCCTCCCCTCCCCTCCCTTTTCTTTTCCTTTTCTTTTCTTTTCTTTTTTTCCTTCTTTTCCTTTCATTCTTCCAATCTCTCCCTTGCTCCTTTCCTACTTTGCTCTCTTCATCTTTCTTACTTTTCCTTGCTTTTCCTTCTATTCTTTTCTAGGCATCAAGGCATTGTCATGCCAGTAGTTGGGAAAACAAGTATTGAGGTGGCTGATGTGGTTGGGAGATTGTTTATGTTGAGTAAATAAGTAAAAAATTGAGCAAATGAGTGACTGTATTGAGAATAAGAGCTGCATTTTTTACTGTTGGGGAAGGAATTTATAAACATAGAAAGGGGAGATGAAAGAAAGAATACTCAGGTATTAGCTTGGAATTGGAGAAACTGGTATAAACTGATTTTTACCAATATAAACAGATAGATACAGGAATAGATATAAATAGTATATATGTATGTGTATATATGTGCCTATTTTCCAGCTGCATCCCCTAGGAGCGCTTAAAAACTATGACGCTCCAATGGCAATGATCATACCAAGTGCTAAGACATTGGTTTCTAAAATACCATGCTTTCCTAAAAGTATGGTATGTGCACCATACTTTGGAAGTAGGACTTCCTCAAGTCTTGGGAGGGAATGTGCATGATGAGCCTGGACCATCTTGCGCTAAAAAGTAAGGAAATGGATTTTTGTCCAGAGAAATACTCTCAGCTAGAAAACCATCTGGTTGCTTTTATTTCCTTGAGTTTGAATATGGTGTAGATTACAGGAGAGAGTGTCTCAGGCACCTATAGAAAATGGGAGACTTCTCAAGCCCCCAGGAAGGTGCTTGGTTCCTCCACCTCTGCGACTAATTCCATGTTCCCTTCATCAAGGAAGGCTGAAAGTAAGTATGCAGGAGGGAATCCAGTTTATGTGCACCCAACTCCTCAGTGGCAAAAAGGAATTGGAGAGTTCTTCAGATTGTACCCTAAAGACTATAAGAAAGAGAATCAGATTTCTGAAGAGGCAGGAAGCAGTGGCTTAGGAAAAGGAAAGAGCAAAGTATGTTCTTTGCCACCTGATCACACAGATGACAAAGAAGAATAGAACTTTTTAATTCATCCTTGACTAATGTTCTTTATTTACTCTGGTGTCCTAGGATGTAAATTTACATAAATGTATTTGTTCCAGTTAGCATTGTTGACTAGACATTTAATTTTAAAAAAAGAAGGTTATATATAGTTATTAAAAAGTGAGTAGTTATGATATTAGATTTATGAGATAATTATGGTTATTTAATTTTAGTATTCAATGCAATAATTGATTTCTTTTACCTGTCATTAAGCTTCTTGTTCTTGCTAAAAATAAATCATTGTATGTTTTATACACAAATCTGCTTAGATCTTTGTGCTGCTGCCATTTTTTATTGGCATTAGATTTTTGGAATGGTGCCATACTTTTCCTTTTATTTGATTTAGAAAACAGAGTTAGATTTCCACACAGTTAAAAAAATCAGTATTAATTAAACTGTACCTATATCCTGTTTAAGAATTGGGGCCAAAGATGCAATGTTGAAAAAACTTGAGGGTTAACTATCTTCTCCTTAGAAAAATGTAAAGGCAATTTGGTCTTGAGAGTTTCAGACAGGAAGATTTAATAGACTACATTAAAAGAGAAGAGTTTTCTTAGAATATGCATTTGATTTGGTGTAATAAAATATTATCCTCTGGAAATCAATAAAACATGAAAGGCAAATCATACCATAAACCCAGAGCTATGCCTAAAGTTCATAGAGCTACCATTTTATTTTTCAAGGTAACTGGTGTGTAATTGAAGAGGTCGGGTAATGTTACTTAGTAACAGTAATTCTTCCTCATCACACTTTTTTGCTCACTGACATCTGTTGTCAAAATTAACCATATTTTAATAGACATGTTTTTCTGGTTTATTTTTAATAAATAAATACTTATTTAAAAAAAAAAGTAAGGGAATTGTCAAAGTAGACAGATGAGCTCGCTTGGAGCGTCTCCCACTGGCCAAAACCTGGGACAATTTTAACATCAAAATAATGGTAGTAATCAGTGATAACTGTTGAATAAAATAGGAATCCATGAGTTCATAGTAATATAAATGAATAAATAAATACTCAAGGGAGAAGAGAATGCTTTTCCCTAGTAGATTGCCTATTAATAAGAGCAGAAGAAATATAAATAGAAAAATTACCATTTGGCAACTGTCAGAGTGGTAATTGATTTAGGTAGGAGTCTTCAAAGGATGTCAAAGCTGATGGAAATTCTAGGAGGAACAGGATACTGGCAAAATCTAAGAATATTCCCCCCCACCCCAATACTAGATTGACTATGAAACAGGAAAATTATATTTTTATAGTAAACACCAACTTGACTGGGTGAGATACCATTCAATATCATGTGTTTCCTGAGAGTTATGCTAAGTAGAGCTCAGCATAATTTCTTAGGTATTCTGGTAGGAGTTCATGGTGCGAGTTTGCATGTGATGAAATATTGTGTAGACCTAATTGAGGGCCATCTTACAGAATGAAAGATGTATTCTTTGGAACTTTCTAGGCTATGAAAATCAGAAAAACTGAGAAATTGCTTCACATTAAAAGAGATTCAAGATATATGACAGCTAAATGAATTGTGTTTCTGCACTGGATCCTGGACAAGATTGGGAAAAGTGACTTTGGCATAGTTGGTTAAACTTGAATAAGATCTGTGGGTGGATAGTAGTGTTCTATTAAATTGTTCTCCATATTTGGAAGTTTCTATGGTAATTACATTGACCAGAGTTCTTCTTTTCAAGAAATATGAACTGGGATATTTTAGGGTTAATGGAGTATCATATTTGCTGATTACTCTCAAATGGTTCAGAAAGGACCAGTGATTGTATATGTGCGTAGGGAGGGCTGGAAAAAGAAAGGGAACAAATGTGCTAAAATATTAACCACTGTGAAATATGGATAAAGGCAAAATAGGGTCATTTTATTTCATGTAACTTCTGTATAAGTTTGAAATTATTTCAAGATACAAAATTTAAAAAAAATGAATGGATATCAAGTATAATTCATTTCAAAATTTAAAAAAAATTTTAAAGATTTTATTTTTAGAAAGAGGGGAAGGGAGGAAAAGAGAGGGAGAGAAACACTGATGTGTGAGAGAGATGTGTGAGAGATACGTCAATCAGTGCCCCCTTGCATGCTCCCAGCTGAGGTCCTGGCCTGCAACCCAGGTATATGCCCAGACCAGGAATTGAACTGTCATCCTTTCATTTTGCAGCTGGCATTCAATCCACTGAGCCATGCCATCCAGGCGCAAAATTAAAAAAATTAAAAGCGAATATAAGATAACACTAAGCTTGAAGATTTCTGAGGCCTAGGTAGAATGTGAACAATAAGATTTTATGGCTATGCGTATAAGCCCTTAAACTCAGATCTCAGAAGAATGGAACAATAGGTTCTAGTTATTTCAGTGGTATTTTTTCACATATAATCTAGCCAAAAAAGCCCCCAATATTTTTATTGACTGGTGGTGTCAATAATATCAATGAAATAAAAGTAATAAAAAGCTTTTCCTCATAGATGCCAAGAAGTGTAGTTAGAGTTGAAAAGTAAAGCAAAAGAAACAAGGGGAAATAATGGTCAATAAAGAGGCAGAAGAAAGCAGAAAAGACAGCAGAGCATAGAAGTAGAGCTGAGGAGAGTGAAGTACCAGGCACTGATGAAAAAGAAGGGAAGTCTGTGTGTGAGAGAGGGGTGAAGAAGGGGGTAAGGAAATGAGGAAAAGAAAGGAAGAGAGAGGAGGAGTAGGTGGCAGAATATTAAGGGAATAATGAAGAACCATTTGGAAATGGAAAAATTAATTCATATAGGCTCAAGGAGTCAGGAAAATACCCTTTTCTGACTATAGTTTACTTTAAGTTTTATGCCAGTTGCTAGAAAAAAGAAAACTGGAGCCCACCTTTCATTTAATCAGCCTTTAAACTAAGTTGTCACTGGTCATTGAAATAGAGCACCTAGTGTTTGAGAAAAAGGCTGTGATTTCAGATGAGTTCCCTTGATTTAGCACAATGGCTAATGCCTAGGGAACAGGGTAAATAGGGAGGAAGGAAATGTCACAAAAAGTTGTAATAAAATGAGGCAACGTAAAGTTTTTTATGACACAAGTGAGAGAAGAAATTCAGTGCCTATTTAAGTCAGTTATGAACAGAGGTCTTTATTTTTAGCAAAACCCTCCCCTGCTTTGTTGTTTCTGATCTCTAATTTCGAAACTAGTTATACAAATTAGAAAAAGTTCTAGAATACCTCTTAATTGAGTTTTTAAAAGAAAGTAGCTAGCGTTGCTTCACTTTGACCTTTTTTTGTCCTTTTGTAAGTAAGGGGAACATAGAAAAATGATTAAAGGTCCATATAACAAAGAAAAAATATTTCAAATTTGACTGTAGAGTTTAAAGAAAGGAAAAAGGGAATGATATTCCTTTGACAAGAGAAGAAAAAGTGACTCTTTTCTTTCCTTAATTATGTGAAGTGCTTGCTAAGGAACAGCACTTTTTTTCAACTCCTCAGTAGATAGATAATTGGGTAATAGAGAGCTAGATTCATTCATTTGAACCTAGTGAAGAACTGTCTTTACAGATCATTACACACTGATCTGTACATTACACACTGATGCATATAACTACATTAGAGTGTTAAATCTCTTCTTAAAAAATGGAACGGTCTGCTGATTGTTTTAATTTATGATCTGTTTTGGGGAGTCTCTGTAGCCTGTTTATTATTCTAAGTGTCTCTCTTTCTCAAGCTAATGTTCGTAGATGAACAAGAATTTTTTTATCATTAAATAATTTTGAATTAAGAGTGGAGAAAATTAAGGAAATATTGTGGAATTTGAAAAAATGCTGAACTATAGAATAGAAATATCTATTATAATAGCAAACCAGGAAGGTACATACCTACAATAACTTTTCCTTGAGAAATAATTATATTCTGACCTACATTGTTATAGAAATTAATGGATAGTTGCATTTGAATTAGCTATTCTTTTGGATTTTAGTGTAATAACTTAATTAAACTACTTTTTAAGAAAATATAATACTCACTGAAAATGCAGTTAGCTAAAATTCAGAGCACCTGAATGCTTTCTTTTTTCTAAACAAGCTATAAAAATAGCTGCAGTGTCTTTCATTCCCCAGATGGTGCTCATCTTAGGATGTTCATACTCTAAAAACATGTTTCTATAGTCATAAAATCACTTTTAGTTAAGGGTGTCTTGAAGGAAATACTCTTATTCTGAATCTGCTATACTTTGAGAATGATATTTGTTCAGAATAGTAAAAAGTACATCCAGGTTTCTACTAAAGTTTTTTGGCTCTGGGTCCTTCTTAGATAGGACTCTATCATAACAATGGTTAAATTTTTAACTTTCATTGGTGGTGTTTTAGAGAGACTGTGCTGCCACTTTTCCACTGATAATATAAAATGAGCTATAGTCTTTATTGAGAAGCTTGGAAGGATCTTGAATTTAGTGTTTTCATTTCAGTTAAAGAAACATTAATTGAGCACTCATTATTTGGCACATGATGTGCATACAGAAGTCTGGGGATACAGAAAGACAGAAAGGAATATGATCTAATCTCTACTCTTGAGGAACTTAAGGTGTGGTTGGAGCATCATACATGCAGATAACTATTTTTTTAATCCTAACCTGAGGATAAACATATCCTCAGGTTATCCTTCCACTACAATCATTGTAGGGGAAGGGAGCGAGGTGGAGAGAGAGATAAAGAGAAAGAGAAAGAAAGAGATGAGAGAGAAACATCAATTGGCTGCCTGCTGTATGTGTCCTGATCAGGGATTGAACCCTCAAACTTTTGGTGTACAGGCCAGTGCTCCAACCAACTGAGCAACCTTGCCAGGGCATAAATAACTATTTTAATGTAAGGATTTTATAGTAGTGTAGCAATGTGATGAATAACTCTGATCAAAATAATAAAGATCTGAATTAGGTCAGTGAAATAGAGAATGAATGGATATGTGAAATGTTTCAAAGGTGGGATTATAGACCTTACTAACTGATAAAGTATAAGCTCAGTTGCAAGACTGTTAGAGAAAGTGTGAAATCTAGAATGGCTGTGAATCCTAGCTTGGACAACTGAGTATAGAGAGATACCACTAATTAACATGAGA